GTCGCTTGGGGATCGCTCCCCATCTCCCCCAATCCTCCCTCAACTTCTCCCTTCTGCTTCCCCCTTTTCCCTCCCCTCCCCCGCTCCTCCTCCTCGTTCTCCTTCCTTCTCCTTCCTCCTCCTCCTCTTCCGTTCTCCTTCCTTCTCCTTCCTTTTCCTCTTCCACTTGATTTCCTGAAGGCATTGGTGTTCTCCGAACGCTGCCGCTTCCCACAAGGCTGGCCAAGAACGAGCCCAGCGGGAATGGAGACATGCATACGCACGGCAGTTCTGGGACTGCTACCCAGGGTCGAACTTGTTCACCCCGAGCCTCCTCGGTCCAAGGACCCCCGTGCTCTGCTCTGCGCCAATTCTCCTCGGTTTCAGCGCCAATCCTACAGTCGGGGCCCTGAAGAAGGAACCCTTTTCGTTAGGGAGGGGCTCCGCGTTCCTTAAATGTTTCGCAGCTTGCCTCAGGTTTTCCTTATGTTTTCGATCGGAAATCGAAGTTTAAGTTATGGAAAAAAGGAGCCTCGTTCCTTATTTAGGGTTCCTTAGGTCAACGCCCCGACTGTAGCGTCAATCCCAATTGATTCAGCGGGCGGGACTGGCAATTTGCAAGGGCGCGGCGACCGCAAGAAGAGTCTCGGAAGGGGAGGCGGAATAAGACGGGCGACTGGTGGCTAATTCTGGCCGTCGTCAACACTGCATGTTGTTTGGACCACAAAGGTGGGGTCCACCCCGCTTTTGCTGCCGAGGCTTTTCCACCACCCCCAACACTTCTGGATCATCTCTGTGCACCGCCCCCCCCAAGGATGGACGTGACTGAAGGGGATGCTTGCGACATCGCTGTCGGTCAACCTGCTCGGAGCGGACGATTCGAACAGCCTCTCGGCCATGAAGGGGGGTCTGCCGATTCATCCCCTCCCTACTTCTCGGGGACCAAAATTTGATGGCAGGAGGAATTGGCCTCCCAAGAGCAAAACAGCTGAGAGGTCCGACTCCGTGGTCTGTCTCGGTGGCCTGGTGCCTCAGGGGCCGATGGTCTCGGAGCAGAGGTGCGGGTGTCGGGCGGCAGAAGGGAGCGGCATCCAAAACGTTGACAGATGCGGACTTCGTGGTAAGTCTCACCTCCCCCTGGTGCGTCCTGCACTGCTCCTCCGCCTCCATCGTGATTTGAACTAGTCCCTCACCGAGAGTGAACTGGAAAGAAGACGCAATGACTGCAGGAAAGTACATGGTGCTTGGCTAGCCGCTGTTCGTCTCGGGCGCCGCTGCGTGGGGCATTCATCACATCAAGGTGCTCGGCCCGCAACAGGTTGCGAAGGAAGCAACCGAGCGACCGCAATGAATGCCAGTTCCTCCACCCCAGATTCAACATAACCTCCTCTCCTCTCCTCCTCCTCCTCCTCCTCCTCCTCCTCCTCCTCCTCTTCCTCAATGCCTCATAACGTCCAGGTGCTCGATCCACCGCGGGTTGCAGAGGAAGCAACCGGGCGCTCGCAATGACTGCCGTCCAATCCCCCCCCACCCGTCCATCCTCATGATGAAGCGTCCGTCCCCTTCCTACGCCTCGGAAACAGGCAGGAGGAAGTGGCCTCCCATGTTCGCAGACGGCTGCGTGATGCCGATTCCATAGCGTGTCCCGGTGACCACGTGCCTCGAGGGCCGACCAATTCCACGCCAACAGGATAACCGGTCTCGGAGCGGAGGTGCGGGCCGCAGGCGGCAGAGACCTGCGTCTCGTGTACCCAGGCTTAGGTCGGGCGTGTTCCCCTACAGAGGGATTCTCGACGAAACAAAAAAGTAATATTCAAAAAATATTCAAAAAAAGTAAAAAAATAGTCTGGGGACTATTTTTCGAGTATTTTTTGAACAGTTTGGAGTATTTTTCATTTTTTTGTTTTATTATTTTTCGTCGAAAATCACCCTGTAGGGGGACAGGCCCGACTTAAACCCAGGCTCATGGCAGAAGGGAGTGGCCTCCCAAACGCTGAGAGATACGGACTCCGGCCACGTGCTTCACGGGCTGGCCACTATCAATGCACTGGAACATGAAGGCGGAGTGGACCGAGGAACGGGGGTTCTCGCGGCTGCTGTTCCTCTCGGGCGCGCTGCACCAGAACACACATCATGACGTCTACGCGCACCGGTCCGCAACAAGCCAGAGTGGAAACAAGCGAGCGACCGAAATGAGTGCTATATCCTCCCCCCGCACCCTAGCTGTCATCTCCTCCACTCCATGATGCCTCCCCTACGTCTCGTGAAACATGGACGATGGACGAAGGAAGTGGCCTCCCACGCACGCACAACAGCTGAGAGATGCGGACTCCGTCGTCTGTGCTGGTGGCCGCGTGCCTCGAGGCCAGAGCATACTGCAAACGCTTACTTGACGGATGAGGACGGTGCTGGGGAGGACGGTGGTGCTGGTGAGGACGGTGGTGCTGCTGGCGATTGCGCTGTTGCTGGAGTCGGTGGCGCTGCTGCTGGAGGCGGTGGCGTTGCTGCTGTTGGGGTCGGCAGCGCTTCTGCCAGAGTCGGTAGTGCTGCTTGAGTCTGTGGTGCGGCTGGGCTCGGTGGTGTTGCTGAAGTTGGTGGTGCTGCTGGAGACGGCGTCGCTGATGCTGGAGTCGGCGGTGCTGCTGGAGTCGGTGGTGCTGCTGGGGTCGGTGGTACAGCTGCGGCCGGTGGCGTTTCTGTCGGAGACGTTGTTGTTGTTGGGATCAGTGGTGCTGGCTCCTCCTCCTCCTCCTCCTCCTCCTCCTCCTTCTCCTTCCTTGTTCATCCTCCCTCCTCCCCTGCTCTCCTCTTTCCCCCCTTCCCCCTCTTCTTCTTCTTCTTCCACTTGCTTCTCTTCCTCCTCCTTCTCCTCTTTTTCCTCCTCCTCTTCCCCTCCTCCTCCTCCTCCTCCTCCTCCTCCTCCTCCTCCTCCTCCAGGGACTGGGAGAGACTGCCTGTCTGCATGGGGGCTATAAGGTCGCTGGCGTGATGCGCGAGGGTGGTCACGCTTCGCGCCTCGCTGGCCTGGGTGGAGAAGCTGCCATTCGCCATGGGGACGCGACGGAGATCGCAGTTCGGTCGGTTCGGCTGCGTGGCGGTCGGTTGCGTTCGGTCGGTTCGGTTCGGTCGGTGATGGTGCCGTTGCCGCGTCGCGTCCTTTTTGGGTTGCTCTCGGCCTGTCGACTTCGGTCTCGTTGTCGGTGCGGTCGGTGTTCGGTTTTGCTGTCGCCGTGCACGGCTCTGTCGGGTCGTCGATCGAGTCGCGAAGGTGACCCGCGCCTCGCGCCTCTCGCGGAGCGGGGTGCCAGGCCTTGCGGCCCCGGCTTCGGAGACCACAGGGCCGGCCCCCGCCACGCCGCAGTGGCACGCCCGCGCCCGCGCGACTGCACTCGGGCAGGAGCCCCGAGGGAGGGCCCTGGCAGAGCCAGGGCTCCTGGGGCCGCCCGATCGGAGAGCGGCTATCTGGATCGGATTGGGCAGCTTGTCTTCCCCAGCTTCACTCTCACTCTCTCACTCTCTCTCTCTACATATATATATATATATCTATGTATAGAAAAATACTTGTAGGATCTAGTTGTGCTAATACAATAGGTATCTATATACTAGACAGCTGATCCGGTACAATCTCGGTTGCGGCTGGGGAGGCTGATAGCCGAGCGCCGCAGGAGGGCCCAAGACGGCCCCAGATAGCCCCAAAACGGCCCGGGAGCGTTTCAGAATGCCTCAGGAGGGCCCGACGAGCGCCCCAAGATGGTCGCGATGGGCCCAAGATGGCCCAAGATGGGCCCAAGACGGCTACTCGACGGCCCAACGGGCCCCCGGGAGGCACAATTATGGGTTTTCTTTAGGTTTGGGTGCAATTTTCGCATCGCCCCCGAGATGGCTGCGCGATGAAGTCGAGCCCAGGACGGCCTGAGAGTGGCCCAAGACGACCCCAAGACGCTCCAACTGGGCCCCAAGACAGCCCAATTGGGACCCCAGACCGCCCCAGAACATCCCCAAGAGGCCGCCAACATTACACTGGGGGAACAAGACGTCCCCAGAGGGGCCCAAGACGGCCCGGAGTCCCCCAAAGCGGCCTGAAAACGTAAGTGTGTATATAGGCACATACAGAGAATCCATACATGCATGCATGCATGCATACATACATGCACACATACATACTTACACACATACACACATACACATACACACATACACACATACAAACATACACACATACACACATACATACATGCACACATACAAACATACACACAGACACACATACATACGTACATACATACATGCATGCATGCATGCATGCATGCATGCATACACACATACATACATACATACATACATACATACATACATACATACATACATACATACACACATATACCTAAATACATACATACATACATACATACATACATACATACATACATACACACATACACACACATACATACATACATACATACATACATACATACACACACACATACATACATACATACATACATACACACATACACACATATATATATATATATACACATGCATACACACATACGTACATGCATGCACGCATGCATGCATGCATGCATACATACACACAGACACATACATTCATGCATGCATGCATACATTCATACAGACAGAGACAGGCAGACAGACAGACAGACAGACAGACAGACAGACAGAGACAGACAGACAGACATGCATGCATGCATGCATGCATGCAGACAGACAGACATGCATGCATGCATGCATGCATACATACATACACACATACACACACATCTATACATGAACATATATATATATATATATATATATATATAGATGCACGGAAGAGCGCGTTCTGTGGTCGCTTGGAAGGGGGGTCGTTTGAAACCGGACTCCCCCCCTGCATGGAGGTCAAGCCTGCAAGGTGGTTCAAGCCTGCACCGATCCGTCCCCGTTTGCACACCATGGCAACGGCAAGCACGGGAGGAGGCAGTCGTAAGTTGAAGCCTCAGGGAAGTAACCCGGAGGCTCCTGATAAGAAGTTGGCGAAGACGTTGAACGCCGACGACGACGATGAGGAATTGGGCATGGGAAGTGGAGGAGAGGAAGGAGAGATGGACATGAAAGGCATGATGAAGGCGATGATGGGCATGATGAAAGGCATGAGGAAGGACATGAAATGCATTAAGAAGGAGACGGAGGAGAAGATGGCCAGCATTCAGCAGACCGTCGAGATCGCCAGCGATACCGCAGGGAAGGCCATGGCGGAGTGTAAGAAGGTCCAGTCGGAGGTGAAAGGGGTCAAGGATCATATCACCAAATTCGAACGCGACCTGAGGGAGCTTCGCACTACGGTTCAGAATCGGTCCGACACCATCCCGGCCACCGACAACCTGCAGACGATCGAAAAGGGCATCCGGGAGCTGCAAGTCATTGCTGCCGGCTTGCAGGAGGCCCAGGACGAGGAGGACATTATCGAGCAAGTCACGAAGCGTGTTGTTGATTTGGGAGCAGGAAGCAAGCACACCGACATCTTCGTTTACACTGACCCTTCCAAGATTGGCGTCATACAGTTCAAGTCGATCGCAGCAAAGATCGGCTTCCTCAAAAAAGCTTCCAATACGACGACCAAATGGGATAATGGCTCAGACATGCGTTTTAAGAGCAACGATATACTGGCGAAGCGTACCATCGACAAGGAGATGGGGAAGGTCAAGAGTTTGTTGCACAATGAGGGTCAAGGATACAAGCTGGAGGACATGAAGATTAAGTGGAAGGAGAGGGTGGTGGAGTTGAAGGGACAGAAGACTTGGAAGAAGGAGGGAGGGGAAGGACTGCAGTACGAGGGAGAAGGGAAAACCGTAGAAGAGGCAGTCAAATCCTTCATGACGGCCTGGAAGAGCAAGCGAATGGGCACCATAGACGAGGATCTGTGACCCTGCCGGCGAACCCGCTCACAAAGTACCAGTGCCAGTCGAATCACAACCTCTACAAGGACAGTTTTGGGAAGAGCGGGGAGAGGTGGAGGGAGAGGGACGTACCACCATGTGTCCGGAGACGTGCCGCTTTGCATGATTGGGACAGGTGCTGTTGACGTTCCAGCTCAGGACCGGCTACCTCGAGGACCGGATGCGGATCACGAACCACACTTACACGATACAACTTTGGCAATTCATTCGAAGTTCAATGTGTTTTTCAAGAACGTCAGAGGTCTCACAAATGAGGCCCGTCTTGACGAGCTTCTCATGGAGATGCATGGGGTCACGTGGGATGTAATCTTACTTGCCGAAACTATGCGGACGCATCGAGAAGAGTCTATGGTGCTGGGCGGAGGGCATTTGTTCGCTGGTGCAGGATATGAGCTCAACCAGCGGGGCGTGGCAGTTCTCATCAACTCGCGATGGGCGAGCGCAGTTCGAAACACAGTTTTTGTGAATGAGCGATTGGTTTATGTTGATTTGAAGGCCCACGGCAAGATCATACGACTAATATCTTCGTATTTTCCTCACGCCAGGTATGCCGACAGCCACGTGGATGCCATGTACACGTCCTTATCTCGGATTTGCACAGAGGCGCGCCGCAAGCATTACAGAACGATACTTGGAGGCGACTTCAATGCTGAAGTTGGGAGCCGGCTCGACACGGACAACTCGAAGGTGATCGGACGTTTCGGCCTCAATGTGGAGACGTCTCGGGGGCAGTGGTTGAAGAACTGGTCAACTTTGGAGAACCTGGTCATCGCCAACACTTTCTTCCCGAAGACGCCAGAGAACAGAACTACACACATCGGTACCAGTGGGAGGTCCCGGCAAATAGACTATATCATCGTAGACCGGAATATTTGGAAATATGTTCAAAATTGTGGTTCAGTGGCAGATTTGGGGATGGGATCTGACCACCGCGCAGTATTCATGACGCTGAATTTCCACCAGAAGCCAAAGGAACCGCCGTTACGACAACAATCAAAGAAGCGTGTGATACCATGGAACAGGATAGATAGCAATGGTTTCAGGGAGACTCTGCAGTCTACGATACACTCCGGAGAGCTTCACGCGGACGCCAGGCACCAAGCAGATCTCATCGAAAACGCTTTGCGGATGTCAGCGGCCGACAACGAGAAGGAGCCGGACCGGGAGACCGAGGGGGGCGATTTCAGCGAGGTCCGAGGCCGCATCCGAGAACAAATCGCTGCCCGGAGAGAGGTGTCCGACCCTGCACAGCGAGCTTTGCTGAGCAAGCGCATCCAGAAGGATATCAAACGACTTCGCAAATCCGAGGCGACTGGGCGCATCCATAAGATTCTTGACGAGTTTTCTGGCTTGGGCACGATTTCTCGACATAAGACCTTGGTGAGAAAAACTTTGATGACGAGCGTGTTGGACGGAGAGAAAGTTGTGACCAATCGGAGAGAGATGGTTGACGTGTTCGCCGCTTTTTACGAAGATCTGTATTCGTCAAAGGTCTCGGTGCCGATCCTACCAGAACTGCGAGATTCATCTTTGGTCGCCGGGGCTCTTCCGAGCATCACGACAGGTGAGGTTCGAGATTCGATCCGGCAGCTCAAACGGAAGAAGTGCGCGGACACTGGAGGTATCTTTGCCGATATGCTTTTGGAGAGCGGCGACATACTATTGGATGTTCTGGCTGATCTTTACAACGCCGTCTTGAATGGATCCTCGGAGCTGCCCGGGTCGTGGAAGCAGTCCGTGATCAAGGTGATTCACAAATCTGGCGACGAGAGGCTGCCGAAGAACTACCGCCCAATCACTATTATTCCAATTTTGTACAAGTTATTCGCACGGATTTTGTACAACCGCTTATCTCTAATATTGGAGCCACACCAGAGCGCTGATCAAGCTGGGTTCCGGAAAGGTTTTTCGACAGAAGATCACCTTTTCACCATGATGATGATCCAGGAGAAGGCAGACGAACACCAAGTTCCTCTGTGGTACGCAGCACTTGATTTCCAGAAGGCTTTCGACTCCGTCGAACACCAGGGTCTATGGAATGCGCTTTTCAACCAGGGCGTGCATGTGGGCTACATCAGGTTTTTACAGCGGTTGTATGATAATCAACAGGCACAGGTGCACGCAGACGTTCGCAGTCGATGGTTCGATCTATCACGTGGGACGAAACAAGGGGATCCGCTGAGTTCCTTGCTGTTCAACGCGCTGCTGGAGGACATCATGAGGCGTATCAAGGTGAACTGGCAAGCCAAGCGATATGGCATTCAATTGGGGTGCACACAGGAGAGGAGAATGAGTAATTTACGTTTCGCTGACGATGTTCTTCTTGCCACAAACACGTTGCATCAGACCAAGCAGATGCTGGCGGATGTTCACGAGCAAGCTGGTGCAGTTGGCCTCCGGCTACACCCGGACAAGACGAAGATACTGACCAACGCGACGAAGAAGACAGGGCGTGGGAAATGTACGTACGCAGATATTCACGGCATGCACATCGAGATTTTGAGCTCTGAAAAGACCGTGAAATACCTGGGCAGACTTTTGGGGGGCGGGGCCTGCGCCCAGAATGAGATCCAGCACCGGATTCGTCAATCTTGGAAAGCGTTCATGGCGCACAAATCGGAGTTGACGTGCAAGCGGTACACCTTGACCAGCCGCCTTCGCCTTTTCGACAGCGTCGTTACTCCGGTGGTGATGTACGGCGCTTCCAGCTGGACGCTGACGGCGGAATTACGACGCGCCCTGCGAACAACTCAACGTAAGATGCTACGCATGATCTTGGGTTCTGGCAGACGGCCGGTGGCAGCGCAGGCGGACGGTGGTGACCTTGAGTCGGCGAGTTCATCTACGGCAGCCTCTGCCAGTGATGGCGTGCACGAGCAAGTGGCGGTTGAATCCTGGATTGAGTGGGTGATCAGAACAACAAGACAAGTCGAAGGACATGCACATTCCAACAACATTGAAGACTGGCGTCTACTCTGGCGAAGGAGGGTGTGGAGATTCGCTCACCGGGTTACGGCCTTATCTTCTGGAAAATGGTCGTTACGAGCTACTCTGTGGGACGCTAGCAGGGACAGGCGAGCAAAAGGCAGGCTTCAGAACCGCCCGCGCAAGAGGTGGGCTGACGATATTTGCGCTTACCTACAGTCCCAAGGGTATGATGCAGGACATGACCGATGGTTTCTTCTGCCTTTCTCTGATGAGCAGTGGTCGGCGCTTGAAGATGGCTTCCTCGACGTCCCCATGTGAGCGCTACGGCGCTGCGCGCCCATCCCCGTAGTCGGGACAGCTCTGCTGAGGCGGCGCCCTCCTCCCCCCTGCATGGAGGAGGGGGGTCGGACCCCCCCCCTCCCGTGACGGAGGAAGGGGGGGTTCGAATTCCCCCCCTTTTCCTCCCCTGCTTCCCCTCTCCTCGGGCCGGCGCTTGCGTCGGCGGCGGCTGGCGGCGGCGGCTGGGACGACGATTTCCTTTTCTGGGCCGGCGCTGGCGCCTGCGGCGGCGGGCGGCGGCGGCGGGGAGCGTCGACGACGACGGTCGGTGGTGGTGGTGGTGGTGCGTTGTGGTGGTGGTGGTGGTTTGTTGTGGTGGTGGTGGTGGTTGTCGTTGTGGGTTGTGGTGGTGGTGGTTGGGTGGTGGTGTGGTGGTGTTTTGTGGTGGTGGTGGTTGGTCGTGGTGGTGGTGGTTTGGTGATAGTGGTGGTTTGTGGTGGTGGTGGTGGGTTGGTGGTGGGTTGGTGGTGGGTTGGTGCTGGCGGTGGTTTGTGGAGGTGGTGCTGATGGTGGTGGTGGTGGCGGTGGTGGTGGTGGTGGTGTGGATGTTTGGTGGTGGTGGTGGGTTGTGCTGCTAGTAGTGGTGGTCGTTGTGGCGGTGGTGGCCGTGGTGTGGTAGAATTGTGGTGGTGGTGGTAGTGGTGGTGGGTTTTGTGGTGGTGGTGGTGGGTTGTGGTGGTGGTGGTGGTGGTTTGGTGGTGGTGGTGTGGTGGTGGTTTGTGGTGGTTGTGGTGGTCGTGGTTTGTGGTGGTGGTGGGTTGTGGAGGTGGTGGTGGTGATGGTGGTGGCGGTGGTGGTGGCGTTGGTGGTGTGGTGGTTTGTGGTGGTGGTGGTGGGTCGTGCTGCTTGTAGTGGTGGTGGTTGTGGCGGTGGTGATGGTGGTGTGGTAGATTGTGGTGGTGGTGGTAGTGGTGGTGAGTTTTTGTGGTGGTGGTGATGGTGAGTTGTGGTGGTGGTGGTCGTGGTGGTGGTGGTGGCTGTGGTGGTGGTGGTGGTGGTGGTTATGTGGTGGGTTGTGGGTCGTGGTGGTGGTGGTGGGTTGAGGCGGTGGTGGTTGTGGTAGTGGTGGCGGTGGTGGTAGCGGTGGTAATCGTCGCTGCGCTCCCGCCGTCGCCGGCGCCAACGCCGGTGCTGCTGGCCGCCGCCAGCGCCAGTGTTGGCGCCAGAGGGGGGGGGGTGAACCCCCCCTCTCCTTGGGCGGCCTCTTGTCATCGTCGCTGCGCCCCCGCCGTCGGCGCTGCTGGCGGCCGCCAGCCGCCAGCGCTGGCGCTGGCGCCATGGGTGTGGGTGGGGGGGTGGGTTTGACCTCCACCCCCTTGGGAGGGATGTGGGGTGGGGTGGGTGGGTTCGGGAGGGGGGGGGGGTTGCGGGGTAGGGGAGTCCCCTTGGTTTTGATGGACGGCGCCGAGTGTTGGGGGGGGCACTCCCTGGTTCGAAACACGCCGCCGACCGTTCCCAAGGCAAGCGCCCTCGAAACGCGTTCCTTCATATATACATGTATGTATGTGTGTATGTATGTATGTATGTAAGTATGTATGTATGTATGTATGTATGTATGCATGCATGTGTGCATGATATATGTATGTATGTATGTATGTATGTATGTATGTTATGTATGTATGTTATGTATGTTTGTGTGTATACATGTACTGATGTATGTATACGTGTATGTGTGTATGTTTGTATGTATGCATGTATGT